AAGAATTCATATTATTATATTCGAAGTCGGTAAATCGCTATTTTATTTTCTCAAATCATATTTCGGTAAGTCGAATGATGTTTCGATTTCACGCATATTAACGTTATATTCTTGATTAATATAATATGCACATTATCGGTGTAATATCTCCAACATTCTCAACTTATATTCTTTAGTCTAGTTTGTGTATAAATTGACAACCGATAATCCAATTATACTCAACTATCTCTCCCCGTGTAAGTTAAACATATTTCTAATCACGATCCAAAATATCTTTATTTCGAATTCAAATACTTAGAACTGCATTTAGGTACAGGGTTATCTATTTTAATTGCATGAGTCACACATCATACTAAAAGAAATGATCTTTGAACTAAAATGGTAAAACAATGGTTTACATCTTCATCCCAACATTTAACAAGTTTAGCCTACCATGCTAATGATGAAATTACAACAAAATATATAAATATTCATCACCCAGAAAATATGTTTGCAAAAAGAAGAATCGGAATTAATTTCACCTTCTTGAATTCCTCCAACAAGTCTTCAATTGATTCGGAATTATCCCTTGATTTTAATCGTCAATTCCAAGCTTTTATTATTCAAACTCTCGAGGTTTTTGCCTTGAATCTCATTTTTGCCTTCTTCTCTATGTTTTTGAATGAAAGAATGTCGAAATTGGCATCCCAAATTAAATTAAATCATAGACCAAATTGCTTTCCAGAATATGAACGAAACCAAAAAAAAAAATCCCTATAATAGTACACCATGCGATTGCGTGATATCTTTTATTGTGAGCACATAGTAGCCTAGCCTCATCTTGCTCTCTACATCTTCAAAATCAACTTTTCGATTGCTGCAAGACTCGTGCTATCACAAGGTACAACTTTTGCCCATATGTACTTTGATCCTCAATTTCATTCCTTCGGTCACCCCAAGTTCATTGTAACTGCAATCCAAGCCATTGATCTTCTAATTTGTATCAAGTTGGTCCCCATTCTTAGAATGTGTACAAAACACGCTATTTTTACCATATTTCATTCTTTTTCTCCAAAAAAATCGTCCAACGTCAAGTTTTTACCTAAAAAAACAATGTTTATATGACATTAAATAGTAATTCCCTAAAAGTACCACATACATCCATATTTGACGGGTGAAATAAGTGAATAAAATACACTTATTATTCATTCTACGTCCCCACATTCGACCTCATATGGAGAGATGGATGTAAGATATAGAATAGCAAAGATGTTTGAGTGCTTTGCTGATTACAATTTCACGCTTTACTATTTTATAACTAATGACATGAAAAGACGAAGAGAAAAGGCTAAAAATTGTCATGATGAGGTCGAATTTTATTTGTCCAATATATAATAATTATCATTGGTGAATTATTAGCCCTTGTTTGGTTCTTATTATTTTTAAAATATATTTTTCTCTATCTTATTTTCAAAGACATGTCTTGAATAAAATAATATTACACGTAAATTCAAAAAAATTTCTTCTTTTTTTTTTTTATCAAACATTCCCCACCAAAATACTATTCTAAAATGCATTGTAATAGAAAAATGGGGCTCAAACATGCTATTAATGTAAATCATTTGTCTAATAATGTTATAAAATGATAGGCCCTGTATATAACCTCAGGCCATCTCCAATTCTGTATCAAGATTTGAGGTAAGTTTTACACTATTTTACACCAAATCTTGCACAAAACTAAAAATCATCTCAAACCCATTACATCAAATGAACGGTTTTTAATCATTTTCTTTGTTTTTTTATTCTTAATAATTTATTTATTTGAAAAATATTTATATATGTATGTGGTTGTTATGATATATTTCGTTTTAACTTTAAATAATCACGTTTGTTATATTTTAAATTGTTTTGAGTGCTTTTATTTTAATTCATTTCTTAATTATTATTGATTAGATTATTAAAAAATATTACAAATGCACATAATAATAATAATAATAATAATAATAATTTTTTATTGTATTACAAAAATGTATAACAAAAATTGACACAAATACTCGTAATCAAATTTTTTGCAAAGTGAAAAAGAATGGCAAAATTTAACCATTTTGCACCAAAATGGTGCCATACATTGGATGAGAATTGCACCAAATATTTGGTACAATTTATTGAATTATGGTGAAATGGTGCACTGGAGATGGCCTTCCTTAACCTTCTCAATTCAATACAAGGATTGCCACAATTTTTATTCTTGTTTTTTTCTAAAGAAAAAAAACAAAAAGGTTCACAATCCAAAAGAAAACACAAAATCAAATGTAGGTCAATGGTTAAGGAAAAGGGGCAAGTTTGTAAAATCAAAGGATTTGCAACCAACTGCCTATAAACAATAGCATCAGTTGTATTCAAAGCGGAGAAGGAGGGAACAAAGAATAAATAGGAAAAGAGAGAAAATATATACAAGAAGATACATATTATTCATTTGCAGTTTGGCAGGAAATCCAATAAACCTGACATTCTGCTTTTGTTCTCTGATTCCCTTTTGTGGAATCAGAGGATCAATCATCATAATCACTTCTCATCTTCCCACTATTTTGTTTTGTTTTCTTTAATTATATATACCTATGTTTTTCATTTTCGTGTATGTATACTTGATAATAAAAAAGCATTCTTGAACCATTCTTGAAATGGGAATTTGAAAAAAAAAGGGAAACAAATCACAAAAGTGGGATTTTTCTCCTTTCTTTTCTGGGAGTTCTAGGTAAAATGGAAATGGTAGAAATTGAGGGGAAGATGCAGGGATGGCTTTATCTGATTCGATTCAACCGTTTTGGGATGCAATATTCACGTAAAAGGTATTTCATTCTTGAAGACAATTGCCTTAAGAGCTTCAAATCAATTCCCACGTCTGAGACAGAGGTACGTCTTGTATTTTCCTATGTTGTACTTCCATATAAACATGCATATATATATATATATATATATACGTGTGATGTATTATGTTAATTTCTGTATTTTCATCTATGTTTTATTGCTATGAATATAATCAGTTTGGCAAAATATGATTTTTGGTAGAGACCCTGTTTTATTGAAATTTAAAATTGAATTGCCTTTTTTAAGTAAAATTGGAATATACTTTTATTTATTTTCTTTTCTTTTCTTTTCTGTTAGCTCCCTCTGATAAAGCAAGTTGTATAAAGTTCATTTTGATATATATGATTTTATGTTAGGTAGATATTCCAATTTAAATATTGTAAATGTATTTTGATTAGCAATTGCAACCTAAAACCCTCCATCTGAAGAAGAGATTGCAAGTTTTCTCCCACACTTCCAAGCTCTAGGATTGCATTATTGAAAGACAATAAAAAATTGACATCTGTAAAATCTCTGGAAGGAACGTGGATGATTACATGTTTAGTTTACAATCCAAATTTTTCGATTATTCGGGCATTGAATGTCTGATATTGTTTGTGCCTCAGAAAGTCAAGTAGAATTTTCATTTTTGTGCTTAATTATCCATAGACCTCCATGAATTTCAGTCATAACTTGTAAATAATCTCAAAAGAACTGCATCTATCTGACTAATGTGTAATTGCAAAATCTCAACATCTGTTCAGTCTCCAATTGAGGAGCTCTATGATGTAGTTGAGATCTATCTTGGGAGTGTGATTACTCTCAAAGTTTTTGCTAACCCGTTCAAGAGAAATATATAGGATGACGTGAAACTTCATTTTGATACTGAACAATTTGTGAATTTGTCGACCCATTCTTGTGTCAGGAGCCTGGGAGAAGTGCAATAATAGACTCCTGTATTCGAGTTACAGATAATGGAAGAGAGAGCCACCACAGAAAAGTATGTCCCTTGAAATTACTTTGCTTCCACTTGATAAATAAACAAAAACTGAAAGCTCTACTTCTGCACATGTATGACTTTTCTTTTCACCTGCAGGTATTTTTCATCTTCTCCTTGTACAATACTTGTAATCATAAAGATCAACTGAAGGTATGTGATCTTTTTCTGTTGATTCTCAAAGAATTTATGCTGATGCATGACTATTCTCACCTGTGTGATGACCCTGAACTCTTTTTCAAATTTTATAGTTGGGGGCAATCAGTTCAGAAGAAGCTGCTAGGTGGATTTGTTTTTTACAGGATGCTGCAGTTAATCCTGTTAAAAACTTAAAAGCCTCTTCAAAAAGGAAATGGCAACCTTTTAGGTAGGTGGTAACCTATCTTTGCTTGCCGGAATTTCTCGCAATGAAGTTCTTTCAAAGATGAAATTTTTTGAAATTTGAATATAAGGACTTTATGTAGATGTGTGATGTCAAATTCTGATATAATTCCCAAGACCTACATAGATATCTTGAGAGGTTGAAATTCATCGTAGCAAATTTATTTAACTGATATTTTTGAGCGGTTATCTCAATTTAAATCTTATCGAAGATGATTACACACTTTGTACCGCGTAAAGAAGTCTCAAATTTGTGTGTACTTAATCTGGGGTTTGCTGAGTCTCTGCTTAACCAATTTTACTTTTATTCCCCTTTACCACATTTATGTGTGGTTTCACTACTTGAAGTCCAACTACCTTCATTCTGTTTCATATTTTTTCCCTTTCCAATCCTTTTTTCTTCTAGTTTTATGTGTCGGGTGGAGGGGTTGCGGTCCATGTTTTACACGTTTGTATACATTGTTCCACAGACCAGAACTCATTTTACCATTGTTTCTACAGCTTGAGCGTTTCGAAGAGAATGGCAAACAAAAGTTCCATTAAATGGACTTCTCTATCTTCTCTGCAAGTGGATGCTATGACATCCGACGTAATTGCACCCTCACCTTGGAAAATATTTGGCTGTCGAAATGGTAAGAAGGAACTTTTGAGTACTTTCAGGTGGAAATTGACCTTTGTTATTCTGGAATTAGAGTTGATGGTTGCATGTTGCCACCTCTTCAGGGTTACGGCTCTTCAAAGAAGCAAAAGACAGAGATTCTAATGGGAGGGTAGATTTCTCTTTTGGCCATTATCATTAATTCTTTAAGTTAATTACATATTTTCCTCCTTGACATATTTTTGAATGGTTATTCTCAGCACTGGGGCGATCACCCTGCAATAATGGCAGTTGGTGTCATCGATGGAACATCGGAAGCTGTTTTCCATACCGTTATGTCACTCGGTCCCTCCAGAGCAGAGTAAAGATTTCTAGAATTTTCCCCTTTTGCCAAACCTATTAATAAGCATGTTGTTTTTATGTTCTCGAGGAACACACAAGTGATACATAAATGTTCATCTTTGTTATTGATAGTTATAGCAATTGCTTGGAGATTTAGGGAAACCAATAAAAAGCTCTAAATCTTTTAACTTCTATCATCTAGTCTGACTTTTTACACTTTCACTTTTGAGAAAGTAGAGAGTCGGAGTTCTCACATTCATATTTTTTTAGAAAATTTAATCCTCTCAGGCAATTACTTGAAGTGAAGGCAATCGATATTTGTGGTGCTATAAAGATCCAACAACAAACTCAGTCCATTCCACAGGATTGGACAAAATAATAAACAAGATTTTGGCTTATTTTTCTTCCTTAATATTGTCTTTTACTATCGAATCCTCCTTATCAAACATTCCATTACGGATTTCTAACATGTTGAATACTGAAAATTTGTGCATTGGGATAAATGCACTGTGTTTTATAAATTTTCCTGAAACCAATCATTTCTTAACTTGATAGCAACGAGGATATTTTCTGGAGGTTAACCTTTCAAGTGTTCTTATGCAGATGGGATTTTTGTTTCTATAGAGGCTGTGTGGTTGAGCACCTCGATGGCCACACGGATATAATTCACATCCAATTATCTAACCATTGGCTACCATGGTAAGAGGCTCATAATTTCTACTAGAACCCATTTTATAATCATGCTATTATTGAACACCTTTCCTTTTTCAGGGCAATGAAAAGAAGAGACTTGCTGCTTCGGCGTTATTGGAGAAGAGAAGATGATGGAACATACGGTACTTTTCAACTGACAATTTTGAAATGAATGTATAATTGTTGCAAAATAATCAATTTTTTTCTCATGCATTGTTTTGCTGCAGTAATCCTCTATCATTCCATGTTCCACAGAAAGTGCCCTCCTCAACGAGGATATGTTCGCGCTTACGTTAAAAGTAATGTATGCTTGGATTTGGAAATTTTTAATGCCATTTTTTCCATCCAGTAATGTTGGCAGGCTTAAGCTCTTTTGTTTAGTTTTCTATTATTTTTACCATAAATGCCGCATTTCATTTTTCTTCGGCTTCTGAGAAATAGAAGAATAAATGTTTCTATTTTTGTTGTGAAATATTTTTTGTTGAAATACCTGGGAAATATGTTTTTTTGTTGTGAAATAATTTTTTCTTTACATCTTTAATCAAACAGGTGGTGGATTTGTGATAAGTCCTGTGAAACAAGGTAAAGAGTGTGTTGTTAAACACATGCTGGCTGTTGATTGGAGAATCTGGAAAGCTTATCTAATGAAAGCATCTGCAAGAACTATAACTATCAGTTTTCTTGAGAGAGTGGGAGGTAAAAGTACACGTGACTTTTCAATTATAACTTTCCAGGCTTTTTGAACCAAATTTCACTAAAATGGACGGAATCCTTTTTGCACATTGCAGCATTAAGAGAGTTGTTCAGAGCAAAAGGCGAAAATAGTTGCCATGAATTTTTATCAGAAGAGATAACAAGAGAAATCGGGGTGCCTCATTGTGAAAAGGAGAATATCAAAACTGAAATTGACTTGATGGGGATGGAGAGTGTAACAGAAGATGAGCCACGACCTTCAAGTCTTATGGGACTGAATGATGCAGTAGATGAATTTTTCGATGTTCCTGAACCATCCAATGATGAACGATCCGAGAATGAGTGGCCTTTGTTCATGAGTCCAGAATTATGTTACATGGTAATTAAGTTTTTCTTTTTGAGAAATTCACGTTTTTGATAAATTTAATGATGACGGCTCTGTGGTTTTCTATCCGAATGCTGCAATTAGCATATGTGTATGAAATGTGGAGAAATGAAACTGATTGGTAAGTAACTAGGGGTCCTAGATAAAGGAATGTTTATTGCCTTTTCTGCCCTGTAATGATTTACTGATGCTTGTTTGGTTTCATGAGAGCTTTATTGACATGATGTAATTGCTTGATTGGTTTTTGAGTTTGATAATGATCCACTATAACAAGGATACTCATCACATAATAACTTAAGTTGATTTCTATTATGTTCAAAGGCCTTTTAATCCGCCTTTATATATCAAATCAACTTCGTGTTCGAATTTGAATAAGAGGATGATTTTATTTGGCACTTGTTTTGCGCTTCTAATATATTATGTCCATTATATGATATTATTTAGCGAAATGTTCCTATGGCCACTCATTTAGATTTTGGGAATCAAAGCAATCTACTGCTTTTGATGCTCTGATGCTGTATCACATCTTAACTGGCATTCTGCAATACATGAATGAACTTCACTGCTTCTGAAACTAATCTTTCACTCTGAGATATGCAGGATAAGTACCAGGCTAAATTGCCATCTGCTGCCAATTTCGTGAAAAAATTACATGATCTTGCAGGTTGGTCCCGTTAGGATGATTGCAACTATGATCAATAGATGCTAAGGTATTTTAAAACAAATTTAATTTGGGAATGACTCGAATTTTTTGTAATTTTTGCAGTCCAAAAAAAGGGTTGTTATATGGACTTGCAAGATATGTCTTTGGAAGACAGCACATCATGCAGTTATGGAGCCACACTACCAAAAGATATAAGTTTGAATATGCCTTGTAGCTGGGCAGCTGCTGATCCATCCTCATTTTTGATCCGCGGTGATAATTATTTAGAAGATCGTCAAAAGGTTGCAGTTTGATTTCTTTATTTTATTTGGTAAAAAAAAAATGCTCACTTACAAATATCAACCGGACAATAAATTATTATGGATATTTGTCATTTCTACTGATGTCAAGTCACTCTTATGAAAGAAGCTTTCATTCATTTGAGTGATGAGATCTCAGTACAACAGGTTAAAACTTAAAAGAGGCACCGGCAAACTTAAACAAACGTGGTCAATTGTGGTGGTTGAGCATCTAGTTGTTTCGAATCTTCCAGTAGATTTCACAATGATCCGAATAGAGCGGCAAAAACAAAATTCATGTAGCCAACCCCAGAATTTTTTAAGAAGCAGGCTTAGTTTGATGTTTTCATTTCTTCAATGTGCATGACGTACTGGGATATACTTTTGAGTAAGAAGAGAAAGATCAAAGTGGGTGACTCCTCAAAAATAAGTTTCTTGAGGCTGCAAACTCCAAACTGCAAGATTTATTGAGGGAGAGACCGATAGAAAAGAATAGTTCACCGATTTTGAAAGTGAATTTTTGGAAGGGGTTTTCTGTTATTATCTATTACATTTACACATGAAAGAAATGAACTGCTGCCTATATGTTTTTGTTAAGGAATATATATCCCACATAGATAAACGATGTTGACACAAACCAATTAATAAAGATTTCGGACTACTCCTCTTAATAAGGTTGATCTTTTAAAATGGAAGCTCAATTCTTAATAAACCTATGTTCATGCAATTGTGAGTGTGTTCAGGAAAATGAGATCATTTTGTTATTATCAGCCAATTATAAGATCATCTAAGTAATTGAGTTTCAAACTTATCATCCTCGAGGATCACTATCCCCGTCTCAATTTTTGTTTTGTGCTTTTCTGAAAATTATACATACAATTTATTTTATATAATCTTTTCAGTTTGCATTGAAATCAGTCTTTCAATTTCTAATTCTGGAAAATTATTTTGTTTAATCAGATCAAAGCAAAAGGTACTTTGATGCAAATGGTTGCTGCAGATTGGATAAGATCAGACACTCGTGAAGATGATCTTTCCAGTCGCCCTGGAGGCATTGTTCAGGTTTGCTATATCATTTCTGAATCGTTTTTATGATTGTGAATTTGAATTAGTTAAAAACAGTATATCTGCAAACACAAGCAGAAATATGCAGCTCGAGGAGGACCGGAGTTCTTTTTTGTCATTAACATTCAGGTAATTCTAAATCTTTTATCATGTTCCATCTCCAGTTCATCTAGAATTTAGTGTGTGATTGATGTTTTGGGACTGAATCAGGTTCCGGGATCAACTCCACATAATCTGGCCCTATATTACATGCTAACAACTCCCTTGGAAGAAACGCCTTTGTTAGAACGCTTTGTCAATGGAGACGATGCTTTTAGGAACTCAAGGTTTAAGCTTATCCCATACATTTCAAAGGTAGTTGTGCATTCAAAATTTAAAGATTTGTCCCTTTTTCCATATTAATCTCTCCAAACTTTAAACAATCTAAATCACTGATGTTCATAGGGATCTTGGATAGTAAAGCAGAGCGTTGGAAAGAAAGCTGGCTTGGTAGGTCAAGCACTCGAAGTCCATTATTTTCGAGGAAACAACTACTTGGAGGTAAAACTCAAAGATTATGTGCTTTTCGTGTTTTAGTTCATATGCTCTCACTCAATAAGTGAAAACGCAGAGAAATTCTAGTTATTAGAGTAAAATTCTTCACATCTTACCTTTTACAATGCATATGGATTTTCAGCTTGATATTGACGTTGGATCATCGACAGTAGCGAGGGGCGTAGTTAGCCTGGTTCTCGGATACCTTACCAATCTTGTCATAGAAATGGCATTTCTAATACAGGTAATAAATCGACCGGGATGACAGATAAAGTTTCATGTAGTTGAGCTCAAAATTATTTTGAACAAGGTTTAGTTTTCCATCTACACTCTCTGACAAGTGACAGGTATGGGATAGCAAACGACAGTATATGACATTTGAGTCGAAGAATTCATAGATACCTACAAACCATATGTCTGCTGTTTTCGGGTTGAGATTTGTGCTGAATTTGCAGGGTAACACGGAGGAAGAACTGCCAGAATTTCTGCTCGGAACGTGTCGGCTTAATCATCTAGATGCCTCAAAGGCAGTTTCTACAGATTCCATTGGAATTAGCTAGACAAATTGTAAGATTCAGTCTAGTATCCACGCGAACAGAAAGATGGAATGAGAAGTAATCTCAAATTGGTTCGTGTAGGAGTTTGTTCTCACAAGTAATGCTTGTATTTACTGTTATTCTACTGATCATAAAATGTATATCCTATTACTTCAGAGTTAATTGTAGAATGATGGAAAATAAGCATAAAAAGATGATCACCATTTAGGTAGGATTGCAAATGTTGATTTATACACGTTCGATGTTGTTGGTTAGTAACACTCACCAACAGAGTAGGCCACCTGTCACATATTATCCTTCGTGCATGTCTGGCAAGCTCTTCATAACCACAATTACTTGCATGTAGATGTCAGTATGTGGCACATACACCATTTGTCGCAATCTTGCGAGGCCACTCGTGATGTATGTGGATTTCTTTTTATTTATTTATTTGGTAATAAGAATACACAATAGTAAAGTCCCAACTAGTCTCTAATGTTGACGAGCTGAACTCACCATTTCATTTTCCAATTATTACATGAAACTTGAAAATGGGCTTTGGGCCTGCATATTTTGGGTCAACTTGTAAATGGGCTTTGGACCAAAGTAAATCCAACAACCTACTTGAAATAGATTCATTTCAATTTCAATTTGATTATTCATCAAAGGAGTATATACAGTTTATATTTAAATTCCAAGAATGCACTCGATTGAGTCTTATAGAAAGACTGCGTCTCATGGCTAGAAAGGTCATTCAATAAACAATGAAAGTCTTTTTTTCTTTCTATTAATAATAATAATTATATCACTGTATTTTTCTACTTGTTTAGGCCAATTCAAGTATAAGCATCTAGTTTTTAAAATTATTTTTCTTGATCTAGTTAAAAATGAAATAAAAATAAAGAATTGAATTAATGTCATCTGCAAATAAAAATTTACTTAAATTCAATTTCATCTGCAAAAACTTCAGTTTGAAATATGAAATAAGTTGTGCCGAGCAATTTCAAGCAAATATATTATTTTTCACGTCCCCATCACCTTTTATCAACACACGCAGCATTATCACAAAATCTGATTTACCGTATTTTGCGAACGAAGTCACATGTCACGGGACAACATGTCGTAAGATTGAAAATAATTACAAATAAAATATTAAATTAATTTATCATACTTGCAATATATTTATACGGCGATCAAAATAGTTATACAGCTTGAATTTGAACACGAATACATGTCCGCATGCGTGCCATCAAATTCTTGCAAGAGTTGAATTAAACTCGCCATATATAATTCAGATATTTCGAATGACTAGTTTTTAACAAATGAATAGAATCGAATAAGTATTAGAGTCCCACGTTGGTTAGTGATATTTACACGATCCACTTAATAAGGTGAGGGCAATCATTTCCTAATAAGCCGGTTTTGTTAGGTTGAATTAGACTCAATGTCCTTTCTAATATGGTATCAAAGCAGACTCAGTTTTGTAATGTTAGGTGTACCCAATATCGATTTGTTCACAATTGTGGTTCATGCTTTGCGTAAGGGGGCGTATTAGAATCCCACATTAGCTGGTAATATTTACACGATCTACTCAATAAGGTGAGGGCAATCCTCCTCTAACAAACCAGTTTTATTAGATTGAGTTAAATCCAATATCATTTCTAATAATAAACCAGCAACGTGACAATGCGTTATAATTATATAACCTATTAATAGATCATATAATTTCAATTTAATAGGTTATAATTTGTATACTCGTCATATATAATTCAGATTGTGAATTTGTATGCTCGCAAAAAAAAAAAAATGATTGTGGTCCACAGCCAACTGTGTGGTTAACCCAGTCACGATCGAGTCAAATTTTGCAGCCACCGACGCAGTCCAAGGGGATCGTGCATGGGACTATGAACCGGAGACCATCTCTTGCCGGTTAAGATTTAAGTGTGCCATTGTCGGCGGGTATGAGTGTCGGCACCGACACGCAAGATTTATTCCCGGTTGCAACTAGAAAACTGGTGGAGGGAAACTCCAGTCGTGACACGGTCACTCGTGGGTGTAGTCTTTTGATTTCTTGAATTGTCTAAGTGTCATTTTCATTATTTAATTTACAATTATAAAGTCACATGTGACAAAGTTATTGAAGAAACAATCATGTTACATGTATATCATCTTTTAGATCATTGTTTATATTGTGTCACATAACAACAAGTCATTGAACAGTTTAAAAAAAACATTTTTTTTCCGTCCACATTTTTTCAAAAACAAAAGGGTTGTCAAAATCAGGGTAAGAAAATGAATTGACATTTGGCATTATTGTTAAAAAATGGACTAGCATTTATAAAAAAAGGATGAGACGCATCCTTAACGGCCCTGCCCTGTCCTGGACCTTGGTGAAAGAGGTAAATCGCAGGTTATACCTCTAAGGGTACAAAGTGGAAGATTACTTGTATATTTGCACTTACCCAAGTGTCAAATCCATATTTCAGGATTCGAACATTTGATGCGATAGCTTCAAACAAAACTGGAGTTTTTCCACATTTCCTTTTTACCACTTCGAAATGTGCCCTGGGAGCAATAGACTAGCATTTATAGGTATCATAGATACTTGATTTCTTGAAGTGATATATTGTTTTTATGGTGTTGTTTACTTAGCCTATATTTGACAATCATTAACACAAGACAATTTTTTTCTCAAACTCATTTTTGATCACACATTCTTACAATAAAATATTTTATGCGTAAATTCGAAATTTTTTTCTACTTTTTAACCACACATTCTTAAAAAAAATTACTATTTCAAAACTCTTTTTTTCCCAAAAAAAAAACTTTTTTTAACGATTGTCAAACAAGGATTTTTTTAAATGGGTACTTGGGACACAACAATATTCGTTTCAAATATAGAGTTGTCCATCCATGTTCTCTCTTCGTATTCTCGTGTTGTTTGATAGTGTGACAATAATAATTATTTTCAGTTATTTAATCAGTTTATTAATACCATGCAATATATTGATCGCACCAACTCATTTGTACAACTACAATTACAAGAAATTATGTTTATTTCTTCTTTAGAAAGTGGTATTCAATATGCTTGTTTAACAATGTAGAATTGAAAATTTATGTTTCATAACATGTTTATTAAACATATTGGTTGACATTATTCAATCTTAATAGATTATAAACCATTTTTCAAATCTTAAAATACATAGAAAGTTTCAAAAAACATAAGTTCGCATTAAAAGACAGACATTCATACATCTTGTCATCTTTCTCGCCTGATAGACTTTCAAGATTAAGTAGGTAAACAAGAATTTTGTTGCGTTCAAATCGTTAGTAATCATTAGTCAGTACTATTAAATGTGTAATGACGTGTGTAAAAATATCATACAAAAATCATCTTTGAAAATAAGTTAAGATTTCACTCTCAATTATAAGTAAAATGGTTTAATTGATTGGTTGAATCTCTATAGAAGACTATCAAATTTGTTTGAATAGGTGAGAGGTACATGATCCAGTATGAACGTGACTTGTACCGAGAAAATGGAATTGGCAAACCGGTGTGATCTCGACTTTTCAACCTACACCTTCTGGACTCGGACTCGGACTCACTACCCACAATGGGACTTATCATTTATTAAAGGGTACATAGTGGCAAAGGGTATACAATCTTTCATTTTATTTATAAATTCATCCCCAATTTTTTTTATTTTTTGGCCTGTGTCCCCAGAAAATAAGCGACATTTATCTATACAGATGATTTCTATCCTTTTTTCTATTAGTCAATCCAGTTGACCTTTACATTTAAAAAAGGACAAAATTGTCATTTTAATTAAAAATCTCATTAAAAGATTTGAGGAGAATTATGTGATGGAATCGAGGTAAGTCGAGGTAGAAACAACCTACGTAAGTCAATCACCAATCTTTTATTATAGAAGCACCATCAGTTTTTAATTGTGGAAATCAACAATTTTTTTTGTAAAATGTCACGTGCCCTCATAAAAAAAAAAAAAAAAATTCCCCACTACAAATTCTGGAACGTGAATCAAAGTTGTTGGACAAAACAGCTTCGTATAATAATATTATGAAGCCACATAATGATTCAAAAAATATTTAAATTAACGCATAATTGAGATCGACCGTGCAATTATCTGCAAGGTCGAAGATCAATTTACTCATAAATTAAAAATCAATACTACATTTTACATGATTTTCTCCTCTATTTTGAATACAGTACAGTATTTAGAAATGCAACGTTGTATGTATCTCTTTTGCCTATATTCATTGACTTGATCTTTAGAATGTCCTCGCTTTTTAGTAACCAGAACAGCATTGGGGAAGAAACAATCATCGTCAAAGAAACCATATATAGAGTACAATAAATGAAAATTTTAATGTGTTTTGATCTATTATTAGTTTAAGGGAAATTTGTAATGGATGTCCCAAAAATTCATTAGTTGATCAAAAGTCGAGCGTTTGAATATAACTTTAAATCAATTTTAAAAAGAGAAAATGTCTTTTAATCTTTAATTAATTAAAAACAAGTGAAATTTTCATTAGGGGTTCCAAACTTTTCAAAAATGTGATGTGGTCCAAAACCTTTAATAAATATGTGTTGTATGACCTCTAACTTATATATATGGTCAATTGGCAATTTTTTTAAATGAAAAATCATATAGGTCTTTTTGATGCACATTTAGCCTATGTTTGATAATGATTAAATCAAAGTCAACAAATAATTTTAATCACATATTTCATGGGTCCCACAACTTCTCAATCACACATTTCATCACATTTTATCAAATTCTACTAAAAAATTAATTTTAATTCTCACCAAACATAGGCTTATTTAAGTTTAGGATCACACTGTACATTTTAAAAAGGTTCACCATTTTGTCTTTTTTTTTTTAAAAAAAAATTAATCTAATTATAGTCAAACACTTGACTTTTAGTCAACTAACAGATTTTTGGACAGAAATCGACCAAAAGTCCTTTCACCGCACATTGTTGAAAGGTTTGGAACTTATGTA